TTTTATACCCTATACGACGTCGCAGACAAAATATCACCTTAATGGCTAGATTGGGAGTTTAGAATAGAAAAGAAAAGAAAAGAAAGGATTGGCTAGGAAAGCAGAGGGAATTTCGCCATTTTGGTCTCTAAGGATTTTCGCTAAAATCAATTTCATTCTTGATGATTTATTTAACTACTTTAGTTCTGGAATAAGTTTTACACTTCTAATTAGGACTTACGCAATGGTACCACCATATTTTATACAATCTATACGGTTGGGTAGCGGTATAATCATAATTAAAAGGCTAAACTTCAGTCATTAATAGATTCGAACAATCCACCTATGTGATTAACTTTGAAAAATAGAAAAGAATAGGAGAAAATTGGGAGAAGAACTAGGGTTTCATAGAAATCAGTATGTGGTTAACTTTGAAAAATTGAAGGCTGTGTTTGGATCCCCAAATATTTCAAAAACTGTATTTGTAGTCCAAAAACATGGCAGGAAAATTTCAAACATCTACAGTGTACATTTTAGAAAACGACACCGTTTTATTAATTTCTATCTCGTCTCTGTTTTTGTGTCCCAAATACAGAACGAGTGTCAGAAAGAGCACTTTCCTCTTCTCTCGCTGTCTTTGCCCAAGCTTCACCTTTCCTCCATTATTGCTCTGGAACAACCGCAAAACTCACATTCAACTTGAGCCGAGCTTCTCCCTGTAGACGGCACCGATTGTACGGCTAATGCAGGCCACCTACGGTGGGTAAAGAGATATCCTCCAGTAAGACTACTGTTGCCGAAGCTGCACTATTTCCGCCATTGTTGCCCTCGAACAAACTGTGTTTGGACATTCAACTTGCGGCGAGGTTGTCCGACCATTGCGGCTCCAGATCTACGGCAAAATCAAATCACTTGAGGCACCTTCTTCTACGGTGTTAAACGGTCGTCTCAGCTCATCAGGTTAGTACTACCAGAATGACTTCTCGACAGTATGTTTTGCATTTCAAGTCTGTTTTTTAGCAATGATACAACAAGCTCCATCTTTCTCATAGCCCCATTTTGATGTATTGAGACCTTCATATCATCCCTGTATTAGCATTCTGCCCAAACACCCAAATCTCGTCTGGTGTACTTAAGCTGGTTCAAAAACCCCAAAATTTGAATGTCTGTCTGTTGGTATGTTAATTGACAAGCCTCTGTGAAATTTTTTGTGGTATGAACATACAGTTGTCTCCAGTTTGTCTTCAGCTTCAGACGGTTATCAATTGGCAATGGTTATGCTTCCTGTGTGGGTTTAATTGCACAAAATGTCTACCAGTTGCAATTGATTATCAAGTTGCAATTTTTATTAGGCTAATAATCTCTTATATCACTGGGTTTAGACCGAAGCTTACATAGACAGTTGTAACTTCAGAGTGAATTATCCATCCTGTTGTGGCCAACACTTTGCCAAAACTGTTATTGTAGGGAGGTAGGCTTCATTCTTATATGCACTAGCTTCTGATATAGTGTCGCTGTCCTGTCTTTTTGGCCATTTACCACGCCAGGTCCGTATATTCTCCACCATGGAAGTACTTCATTTCTAGCAATAAAATTCAAATTAGTGCCTGTTGTACGGCTATTTCTTTAATTCTCAGAAATTGTTACGTTTTGTAGCTGCTTTCACATCTCGGATAATAGAAAATGTGCTTCACAGTGATAATACCTGCGGCCATTCCATTTACTGCTTGACAGATCTTGTTTAGAGGGAAAGAATTTTGTTTTCACACACTGGAAGTTGATATCCATTAGTATCTGTTCCTCTGTACATGCACCTTCTACAATTTCTATGAATTAAGAGTTGGAAAGTAGTTATTAATAAAAATTGTCTGTTGAGCTTGCATCTGCCTTCATTTCAAAAGCTCCCGCTTGGGTCTCTTCATTTAAATAGATGGTAATATGTGCAGTAACCCATAACACTGGTATCTAATATGGCTTTTGGACACTGTTAAGAGTCTTATGGCAACAGCAGTTCAATTGTTTCCGCAACTTAAATAGCCTCATACTAGTATTTTTATGTATTAAGTTTAGCTCAGATTTCTACGGTTAACTTTCTTCACTTTGAGGTGAACCATTTAGGTGATACTTTTTAGAAGCCTACTGCAACTACATGCCCCCTGTTACTCGACGTGCTTGGAAGGGTATGAGCTACTTCCACGCTTGGGGTCTTTATTAGATTATATGAGTATTTATTCATTAATGGATAACACTAACTTCTCTCGCTGTCCAGCTTTTCAAAAACGTAGGCACCTAGGTAGTTATTCTTCGAAGTCAGCTTGTGGAGAGAACGATTTGCAGCTGTGCATCACCAACTACTTCAAGGTAAAGCTGTTTAAGCCATGCAAACTGGTTGAATGCCATAGATTAGAAAGAAACTATGCCATGCAAACTCTTTAAGCTAAAAAATTTCCTTTGCCATGCATTGTTTCCATCCTAAATCCAAAAAAGATGAGTCGACCACGAGCAAAGTATTCCCAGCGTAATACTTTCACTGAACAACACGAAATTGCATTTGCCCAACATCTATTGAGTATGCATAGGAAGGGAGAAATAACCCCTACCACCATCGGGAGTCATGTCATCCCCGAAGTTATGGCTACGCTTAACGCTACCTTCGGCACTTCCTTTCCCAAAAATGCCATCAGATCGAAGTACTATGCCCTGCAGAGCCTGACCAGACTGTATATTTCATTCAAGAGGCGAGGTACTGGTATGGGTTGGGACTCTTCGAAATACACTTTCATGATGGATGATGGCCGCTGGGCTGATCTACTCCAGGTTGGCTAACTTGTACTTATATTTCCTATTTCATTTCAGTTATTTTTCTATTTTGTAGACTTGCCTATGTGACCAGGTTGTGCAATTCCTTTTGTACTCTGTTCCGATATTTTCCTTTATTATTTATTAGTACATAAATCTGTTCGAAATCAGTTTTTCATTTCAATTTCCTTTCGATTATTTGCTGGCTGACGACCAAAGCAATATAGCCTCTGTCTTGGGTGTTTTATGCATTATATAATGCTTTTTGTGATGTATTTTTTTAAGGTGAACAGCGACTTCACAAGGTTTTATAATAGATCATGCTATGTATTTCATTTGCTTGAGGAAGTCTTCATGAACCAAGGCGCTACAGGGGACTATAGTGGGGCACATGAAGAATCGCCCCTCAACACCGATGAGGAGTTGGAAATGGAGAATGCGGCGAGAAGTGCTAAACCCTCGGATGTTGTTAACGTTGGTTCATCGGGTGAAGATGTTAAGTTGCCTTCGGCTAGGAAAGGGAAAGGGAAAGGGAAAGGGAAAGTGACTAAGGAGAAAAAAAAGCGCAAATCAGGAGACATGTCAGAGGATTCATTCTTCTCAGGTTCTTCAAGGGAATTCCAACAGTATATGCGTGTGCTAGACAGCATTGAGACAAAATTGAGTGGTAAAAAGGGAGATAGCATGACTGGTTCGGTCTGTTCACCGTCGAAAACTACACATCGCCCTGTGGATGCTGATGCTGAGCTAAAGGCCGCGTTGGCACAGCTCCTCGCCCTGAATCTAGACATAAATGTGCATTTGGGCGTTGCTGATATTTTACAAGATTCTTCAGAGCGGGCGATTTGGAATACTTGCACTACTGATACTGCTCGTCTTGCATTTGTGAGGCGCAGAGGGTTCTTACCCCCTGAGTAGATCGAGACCAGTCCAGTTTTATTATAGTTACGCTTATTAGAGCTTGTTAAATGCTTGTGTTTTCCTCCCTGCTCTGCCATTTGAGTATTGAGTTGACAGTAGGTTTGGTATGAGTATGACTATGCCTTAACTTTAGTAGCAATCATGCCGTTGTACCGGAAAACTGTTTTTCATTATTTTTTCCTTATTTTTTTCGCACACGCTTGTATGAAACAATTGTTTATTAGATTTTTATGTTGCCTTTAATTGTCTTGATTTTTTTAGTGTTGCATTTAACTTATGGAATTTAAGTGCTTTGCTTATAGTTACAGCTGTTCGGGTTTTAAACTTTTCTATGTACGCAAGGGTTACGCTTGTTACGTTTATTTCCATAACTTTAATATGCTTATTAGTGCATTTGTGTAATATCTCCTATCGCATATGGATGTTAGGTGTCCTGTATATCCATCCTGTGTGTACACAGCAATCTATCTTGGAACTGGCCGTGCTTCAAAGTGTAGAAGCCATCAACCTTAACATCGTTTTTCATATCAATTTTTACTGTACTTCATTGATTAGCTAATACTGTATGTTGTTAACTCCTATCCCATTACTATGCTGTCTTATGGTTGCATGTACTTGTAATTTGACGGAAATATAATATCGAGATTGGAAATATATTGCACTTATATAGAAAATGTCTATCCACTTGCATGCATGGGAATTATTGGGTGTAATCCATATGTACTATGAGTCTAGAGGCGAAATCTTCTACATTCATTAGTGTTTCCAGTTTATTTTTTGAAAAACTGTATTCGATTGATATTGCATTTCCATGTGGATGCAGGTTGGCTATTTTCTGGAGCTCTAGCAACAGTACGTCTCCGCAAAGTAACGAGTCTCTCTCTCTCTCTCCATTGATTGCTAATTGTCAGTGCTTTGTTTCGGTTGCACTCTTTATTTGTCTCCTCATAATATCTCCTTTCATGCACAAACTGCAGCACGTGCATTTTGTTTTCAAAATTTCATATTAAACTAATAGGCTACATTTTGGCCCCCTATAAACTATAGCTAGCATGTATTGGTGATTACGCCTACTTCTACCTTAAGTGTTCTTACACAAAAATGAGATTTTTAACATTTACTATGGTTTCATCTCCGAGACTATCATAAACTTGCCTATTAGTATGTCAATAAAGTAAGAGTTACTTCCTGAATATAAACGATAGCCTGACCTCTCGTCTCTCTTATTTGCATTTACTCATATCAGCTTGTACTTGGGATAACACTAGTCTTGACATCATTCTCAAGGGTTATCTCAATTGATGGATAACGAGCTCCACGTTCAGGGCGGACAATTAGACGATGAGACGGACGATCTTGACATCGATAACATACTCATGGCGGTCATTGTCATGGGATTGATTTTCTTTGACCCTAGACTGAATCATGTTTCAAGAAGGAGAAGAATCCGAGATAGTGCACTCTCTGGCAGGGATTATGTACTTGAGGTGCTAAACGGCCATCCGGATCGAATTATCGAGAATATGCGCCTCTCTGTGCCCCTGTTCCTACACTTGTGCGACATCTTGGTTGACCGGGGGTACTGGCACGCATATCCTTCTCAGAGGGTTGGGGTTCATGAATCCGTTGCCCTAACTCTAATGTGCTTGAGCCATGATGAGCGTCATCGGGTTTTAGCCGAGCGTTTTCAACATTCCATGGAGACAATTGATCGACATGTAAGAAGAGTTCTGCGAGCATTGGTGCGACTCGGTCGTGATTTTGTTAGGCCGAGGAATGTTGGTGAGACACACCCCAGAATTTTGAACAACGGACTGTTTTACCCGTGGTTCAAGGTAAATACACAAACACCCAATTCTTGGTAGGACTATGAAGTTTATATCTATGATTTCCGGTAATTTGTCTTGATAATTTTTTCATATATATGAAAAGAACATTGTATTCCTGCTAAAACATCCATATGAATAGTTTATTAGCTAATATTGTCATGACTTTGAATAATTTGCCTCAAAATTCATAGGATTGCGTCGGTGCCTTAGATGGAACCCACATCTCAGCTTGGTGTCGAACAGAGATAAGCGAGCAGTACAGAAATAGGCACGGTGGGCTGTCTCAAAATGTGCTTGCAGCTTGTGATCATGACATGCGTTTTGTTTACGTTCGAGTCGGTTAGGAGGGCAGTGCACACGACGCCAGAATTCTTCAGGAAACACTGCACCATCCAAATTCAGGATTTCCAATGCCACCTCTAGGTATGCTTTTCTTTTATATAAAGGTTTGTAGTAAAACAAGTGATTTTCATATGTGAGTCTTGCATAGATTAATAGACTTTTTAGTATTGCTTCAAGGTTTGTTTAGTTATAAAGTTTGAAATATGCTGACATGGATTTGGGGCTCTCACATGTTAGGAAAATATTATATGGTGGATGCTGCCTACACTAACATGCCCGGGTTCATGGCACCGTTTAGGGCAGCGAGGGACACGCAGCATGAGCGGGCCGCTAAAGCTTTATTCAACCGACGACACGCTTCTGTTAGAAATATTATTGAAAGAAGTTTTGGGGTTCTTAAGAAACGGTTCCCGATACTGAAGGGTCCAATGCAGAACTACCTCATAGCAACTCAGAACAATATCGTGCTTGCATGTTGTACTCTCCACAACTTCATGAGAGATTATGCGCCTAACGATGAGTATTTCGATGAAGAAGCTGCCCTCGGAGCCCAACTAGATCTCCAGGACGGAGGAAATGAAATCCATGAAGCCCAACCCATCGATATGTCGCAACAGGGTATACAGAACTGGAACGAAAATCGGCGGGCAATTGCAGTTCATATGTATGTGAATCGGCATGGTGCTTAAAGAAGCTTATGTCTAGCGTGTAGTACTACTAAGTAGAAACTTTGCTTGCTTCCTATAATTTGACAACCAAACAATTTGTCATGTTGTCTTATTTGTATTTACAAAGGTTAACCTTTGGGGAGGTACTAATCGAATGGCCTAGTTCCAGCTGTGGCACCTATAATCAAGCCTAAACTTAATATGCAGCTTTTTATGCGCCTATACCATGTCTTATTCAATAGCTTGTAGTTAGACATGGCATTGAGACCAGAATTGGTTGTATCTTGTGCATCCATATTTATTCCAGCTAAGGTGCAAATCATGGTTCGAATATGTGCAATAGCTTTCCAGTCGATCCCAAATTATTTCAACAAGTCGAGTCCAAATTTTTCCATCCCAACTTCTTTCGAGAAGGAGAGCGTATGGAATGTAGATGGCGAGATTTTACAAGGGCATCAAATTTCTGCTCAAGTAAATCGAGGCCTTGGTAGTTTATTTGCTACCGGCCCTGAAGTCTAGTCAAATGGCACATAAATGAGCCATTGTGTAGTGTATTTATTTGTAATGAGTTTTGATGTATTAAATTCCAGGTCAGTAAAATTTTGTAGCATAGCTTTCACAAGGTTCTAATTTTGACACGAATTCTTATGCAATTTTGATGAGACATTGAAGTAAAAAAAAAAAGGTGTTTTTGAAATACAGGTCAATCCAAACGCAGATTTTTTCAAATACATGGATTTTTTCAATCCAAGCGACTATAGTTGTTTTTCAAAAACTGCTACAGTAGAGTTTTTGAAATACACCTCCAAAAACAGAGAATTCAAACGCAGCCGAAAAGAATTGGAGAAAATTGGGAGAAGAATTAGGGTTTCATAGAAATCAGCAATGGCAGCCATAAATGACATAGGAACATTAGGAACTCTGATAATGGAGAATGTCGATAGTAACAAGGATGATTACAATCAAACTGACTCGAGCAAGATCACAGAAACTTTAATGAGAACTTGAAGTATTTAATCTATGTGTTAGTTAGTCGATTTCAGTCTCATAGTGTGTTGGCATGTTTAAATAATCAATAATGGTAGGATTTGAGAGAGGAGGACTGATTTTTCAGTATAATAAATTTGTGGTGAGGCATGAATAGATTCGGGAATGATGAAATTTGGTGTATTTTAAATTTGGGATAATTTCAGAAGCTTTCCTTGACTTTTCTAATTATTTCGCTGGTCTCTCTCCAGATTTCAAAAATTACATTAACCTCTCTTGAGATTAATTATCTTGTAGGAGTAATATTTAGACCCAATCAATAATTAAAATTGATATTATGAGAGAGAAAATAATATGATTTTATCATTGCCTCTCATTTACTATATTATTTAATTAATTTAATATCAATCCATATATTAAAGAAAAATATAAAAATTTGTTGTTTGTCATAAGGGATCAAATCATATATAGTATCAAAAAATAATATACCATTTTATATATTTCACTTAATGCAAGATCATATTACTCTTTTTAGTTACACATCCATTGTCAAATATGATTAACAACAAATAATCAAAAAATTTGCAACCAAAATATTACAGAGAATAAATTTTAACATCATAAATATTTTTGTCAACATATTAATGTTAGTTGCTGAAATTTTTATGGTATTAAAGTTTGCTCTTTGTAATATTTTGGCTATAGATTTTTTTTAATTATTTGTTGTTGATCATGTTTGATAATGAGTATATAACTGAAAACAGTAATTTAGATCTTATATTAAGTTAAATATATATAATGATATACTATTTTTGATGCCATCTGTGATTTAATTCCTGATGATAAACAGTAAATTCTAGTGTTTTCTTTAATGTTTAGATGGGTATTAGTTTAATTAAATAAATTTAGTAGATGAGGGATAATGGTGAAATCATATTATTTTCTCTCTTTTAATATCATTTTTTAATTGTTGGTTGGACTTAGATGTTACAAGATAATAAAACTCAAGGGAGATTAGCATAAATTTTAAAATTTAGAGGGAGGCCAGTGAAATAGTCAAAAATCTTAGGAGAGGTTCTGAAATTATCCCTTTAAATTTACTTTGTTTGGTGATTTGTGATGGTGAAATTTGATATTTTTAAAATTAATTTTATTTGTTTGTAATATGTGATGTGGTCCCTTTGCCTTTAAATTATAATATGTCGTAGCTTTAATGTTCCTAAAAAGTTAGACATAGTAGGAGCCAAAGTTCTTTATGTAAATAATAAAACAATTTCTATAGTTTTTTAATCTGAGAGTGCATTAAGATCCACAAGAGATATATATGGGGGATAGTGTGGAAACCTTTAAAGGAGTTATTCCAATGACAGTGAGTAAATCAATCATACATGATTTCTTCATTCTTATGGGATATACTGGGGATATGAAGATGATGTATAGAATCCCCTATGAAGATAATTTGCTCAAGTTATAACAAATAGGTGGTGAAGATTATGTAATTCACGTGGCTTGCATTGACAAAAAGAATGAATAATCTAACATATATGTTGTCGATGACATCCATATAAAATATGTTAATAGTAATATAGGGAGTTCAACTGCAACAACTCCCGAGGAGATTCAATTAGAAGAAGATGACTTGTTTGTTGATATAACCTTTGATGATATTGATCTAGCCGACCTTGAAGACATACAAGTTTATATGGACAAAATCATGGAGCATGTGAAGAAAAAAAGGAAAAATAGAAGCTGCTGATCTCGAAGGAAATTGTGATAATGAAACCAATGATGCTGCCTTTTCAGATTCATCTTAAGATGAAAGCTTTCACGACAATGATTCTGATTTTAGCAAGGATGATGAAGATGTGACATTCCACAATTGTATTGTTGCTTCTAAGCAAGAGTTGGGTGCTTGGATTGGGAAGATTCAAGTTGGCAGTGGAAGACAAAGCAGAGACGAACAGTCTAAAAACCAAAAACTACCACCACCTACAATGTAGCCAAGAAGAAAATTTGTGGAGCCAAGCCAGCTGGTTTGAAATACCTATACCTGGATGAAGGAGACCAAATTCCGATCCACAAAGAATTTGATTCACTTACTCAGATGAGATGAAAAGTGTACACTCTTCCTTGGATGAAGATAGTAGGTAGAAGAAGCCTAGTCTTGTGAGGTTCAAACCTCGAGTTGACAAGGAAGATAACAAATTCTATGTTGGTCAGCTCTTTGATGATAAACATTTGTTCAAGTTAGTGGTGGATAATAAGTGCATATTTTAAGTGTTTTAAGCATGTTTTATCATTTAGTTTTTGTGTGTTTTAACTACTTTTATAGCGAATTAACTAAGTTTCTAGTGAAAATATGTATTTTGTAGTTTAAGTGGTAAAAATTGCATTTCTATGGATTTTAATAGTAAAAATTTCATGTTTTTGTAGATTTAATGATTAATCATCAAATGGCATGAATTGAGAAGATAATTGGATGATTAATGATGATTTGAAGTGGTTTTAAAGAGAATATGAAGTGCAAGAGATGAAATGCAATTAAGGAAGCTTCACAACTTTGACACCTTGTGGTACTTCGGCTATATCTCGAGTTACAAGTATTGGATTAAGGTGATTCTTATATCATTTTGAAGCTAAGAGATGGATCTATATTTGGCATGAAGAATCAAAGTCCATTTTAGTCGTTTTTCTTGTCAAAATGTCAAAATACAGAAGTGCATTTTCATTGTTGAAAGTTGAAATGGAGTTCTGACCAATCAAGGGTATTTTGATCATTTTTCAGTCTACAAAGCTCCAAATTAGATGCTTGATGCATTGGAAAGCTAACTCAATTAGCAACAACTTTCATGTTTTACAAAAAAGTTAGTTCAACCTCCATCATCAAGAAAATATCGGTTGAAATTAGACAAAAAACAGAGTAAGGATGAAATCTGTCTAGAATGAGTAATCCAGCAAAAAAAGCAAAATGGGGTATCAAAATGAAGGCATAGGCCCCGTTTTCATGGATTTCGGCTGCAACTTACTCTGCAACTTGTGCTCTATTCACAAAACATTTTTGACCACTTTTTTTGCAAAGATTCCGACTGAAAATAATTAGATGAGCATGGAAACTTTGAGAAGCAACTTTTAAGAGTTTCAAGAGTCAAAAATACCAACTAGAAACAGCTTATCTTGAGCTTAAATCTCTCTATAAATAGCAGCCTTTGAGGACATTTTCACAACTTTGGAAGGATAGAGAAACTCCACAAAAATGTAGTGTTTACTAGAGTTTTATTAGTTCATTAGTTAGGGAAATATGGTATAGTTAATGTAGTTTATCCTTCTTGTATTTTTGTAGCTAGATTTTGATGAAAATTTGAAGAGCAAAAATGAAGAGTTAGAGCTCATGTGACAAGGGTGATTTCTTTCCTATTATTTTCCCTTTTGTATTTGAATTTATGTTTAACTATAATACAAGTTTGGATCTTGTTCTTCACGTTTAATTAAAGTTTATGCCTAGAGTTATGGATAAACTTTCTATATCTGGTTAGTGATGTTTACTTGGTTATTTGATGATATTATTTTGACCAAGTTATTTATCACTTTTGCTTTTCCAATCATGATTAACCGACCATTAATTATGATAATCTTAAGGTGTTAAGTTTGCAATGAGAATTGGGATTTAACACTAGTTTAAGAAAGTGATAAACCTAGAGAGTACACTCACGAAAGTAGAGGTACACCTTTGTGATTTTAGTGACTTGTTTCATGTAGTTTTATAGAAGAAATGAGCTTGTAGTTAGTTTCATAATCTCAAAAGTAGGTATGAATTAACTATAGGTATAGTTGGTACACTGGCGAAAGCGGGTATCACGTATATTAGGAAATTACACCATAACTAACCAAGATAATAACATTCAATTAACCGGTAACTTCATTTGCAAGAGTAATAAGGAATTTCATATCTGTAGCAGTTTTATATTGTTATTTTTAGGGCAAAAAACCTCAGTGGCCATTGAACTATTAGTCGGATCATGTTTTGGCCATCAAAC